CTCGGCCCTCCCTCCCTCCCTCCCTCCCCTCTCCCTCCTTTCTTTCCTTCCTGGAGCAAACCTTCACTGGCAGTCATCTCTACGTCCAGGCAGTCAGATAGGTCCTGAGGATGCAGTAACATGTAGGACATCCCCCCACCATATATGTGCTCAGTCTAGTAGGAGGACTGACACATAACTAACCACACTGATAAGTGGGACACGAGCAGACACGCAAAGTGGAGAGGAAGGAATGGCCAACTCCACGTGACGTGGTTGGAGACAGGCTCCTGGGAGCCCCCCAGGGCCCAGGCCTGCTCCACGTCACCAGCACACACGTCATCCCAGGAATGGAGGGGGAGCTTTATACAGCGTAACTCAAAAAAAGTCTGGATTCACCTTGGCAGCTTTACAAAGCCAACAGAAGTGTGCTCTCATCTAATGCTTATATATCTGTGGCCATGTTGTATTTTCTGGCAAATTCATGGGGGTGGGGGATGAATTTATTTATATTGGATCGCTGCCCTTTTCAGAAGGGCTTGCTTACTTCAGGTCTCATAGTACAGACCTTTACTTCTACTGTTTGTAGTCTAAATAATCTAAAATCTGGAGTTTAGAAAGTCATTCTGGGAGTCAAAGTGCTTGCCCCAGGTTGGAGTTGACGAAATGTTTTTCAAGCTCGGTGCTTATGGTCACAGTTATCTGACGTGGGTGGCTCGTTGCTCGGGGGGCGACAGCCAGTGGGAACAGACACGAGAAAGGGGGCTTCTGATCNTTTTCAAGCTCGGTGCTTATGGTCACAGTTATCTGACGTGGGTGGCTCGTTGCTCAGGGGGCGACAGCCAGTGGGAACAGATACGAGAAAGGGGCCTTCTGATTCCTGTAACCCTGAGTCCATTCTCTCACCTCCCCTTCTTGTTCCTCCCTCCATGGCAAGGTAACCAACTAACAGAGTATTTTCCACATCCTGTTCTGAGTCTTGAAAATGAGAAGCAGGATACTCGATCGGTGTTGCTTTGAAAACGCAGATTGCATTCGATGTCACGAAGGTATCAGAGGGACACCACGTTCAGTGAAAATAAAGATAAGGGCTCTTTATACTGAGAAGCACCATGATTACCAAGATTTTTAGAGGAGAAATTGAGGCTCAAGGAGGTACAGCTGTTGATCTGTGGTCATGTGGAAATTAAGTGATGGGCCTGGGCTTCCCTTAAGTGAAGGAAAGGGAGAAGAGAGAAAATAGAGAGAAACAAAAGAAAAAATGCAGCAGCCGGGCTGGCGTGGCTCAGCGGTTGAGCGTCGACCTAGGATCCAGGAGGTCACGGTTCAATTCCGGGTCAGGGCACAGGCCCGGGGTGCAGGCTCCTCGGTCCCCAGCAGGGGGCGTGCGGGAGGCAGCCGATCAGTGACTCTCATCATTGATGTTTCTCTCGCTCTCCCTCCCCTTCCTCTCTCTGAAATCAATAAAAACACACTTTAAAAAAATATACAGCAAAAAATGGAGACAACTAGGGAGCAGTGGAAACAATTAGAAAGGAAAGGAAGAGAGAATGTGAAGACACTGTATGTGGCAAGGTTGGCGGAGGCCACAGTGGTCTACAGTGCCCCTCGGAGTAGCGGGGCCCAGAACCACGGGTGCGGCCACGCGGGTTACGGGCCTGGCCCGCGTTGTCATCTCCAATGAGCTTTCCTGGGATGGCTGCCCACGGCCCAGGCGGTACAGCGAGGACTGGCTTGGGGTCTGTCCCTGCTCCCGCCCCCCATCCTTCCCGTTGGCACCTCCACTCCCTCCCCACCCCCACCCCACATGACACACACGCGTGGACACACATGCAACCAGAAACTGAGTGTTTCTAATTCATTGTTATCCAGCTCATATGCACAACAGTTGCTTAATTTCAGTGGTGATTTTCAGAAAATATTGTCTGTCTCTCTCAGTGAAATAGCCTGTCCAGATGCCCCCTAAAAAATTCCTGAATCTGGAAAAAACTCAAAATATCTCAGAAGGAAAGTGCTGAGAAATAACTACGGCTGTCAGTTTGATTCAACTGTCAGTTCTCCAAAGATTCCAGGGCTTAAAATGTTAAAAGTGCCAGATGCTATTATCTGTTATTCATGTTACCATTATGTTCTGGTCTTTACTGAAATCAATATAAACTTCCATCTGTACATTAAAGGAATTTCATTGCACCCATGCACTCTGTAAACTCACACATATGTGCCACATTCTTCCTTACAGAGCCATAGGATAAAAACATTATTTTCTAAATGATAATTTTGAAAATAACATTTTTATTTTATTTAACGATACCTTATATTTTGAAAAAAATTCTTCTAAATGATATATGAACTTTATTTTTATTTTTTTCCTTGGTGCTGTTTAAGAATTTATCCAATATAAAATGCTTCTGTAACAAAATTAAGAAGTTTCTTAGTGATGGCCATCTGTATTTTAGTACCTATGCTCTCTGCAAGCTTTTTAGGGGCAATATGCTGAGCAAAGAAAAGACCATTATTCCATAACGCAACTGCACACATAAGAGCCCATAGTTTTCAAAGGAAGTTATAAAATATTTGAAAAGTCATAGCCAATAAAATTGTCTTACTAAAGCATTACCACATATTACTCTACCAAATTAAATACCATGCATTCCGCAAGCATCGTTTTGTATGCTTTTTAGCCAAATAACTTACGCTTTCGTAACTGATCGTTTCTTTCTATACCACACAGATTCAGCAAGCAACTGATACACTTTCCAAGTTCGTCTATGAGTTAAATGCTTCCTTAGAGATTCTTTGTTCTTAACTTTATCATAAGAAAATAATAAGCCCTGGCCGGTCTGGCTCAGTGGTTACAGCATCGGCCTTGGAACTGAAGGGCCCCGGGTTCATTCTGGCCAAGGGCACGCACCCCAGTTGCAGGCTCCATCCCCAGCCCCCCGGGAGGCAACCAGCCGATGTGTCCCTCTCACATCGATGGTGTTTCTCTCTCTCTCTCTGAAAAGCAATGGAAAAAATATCCTCTGGTGAGGACGAAAGAAATAAATGAAATAAGAAGGCTCTTTCTACTTTATGCCATTTTTGTGAAAAAATTCAAACAGCTAAACAGAAAGACGAAGGGCGTTCCGCACTGAGACTTCACACTGGACTTAACATTTGTATCTACTTCCCAAAAACCGAGACGTTTATAAACTATAGTAGAAAACATGAGCTAGGCTGACTCCAGGTAACAGCAAGCGGAGCGGGGGTGCAGCCGCTGGGCCTCCCCTGGGACCGGGGAGCGCGTCCCGCAGCAACTGAGAAGCGTGAGCCTCGCTCAGCCCTTCTGCCTCCGAGTCCACGGGGCGGCCGCTGAAACAGCGCTTCCCTGTGCATCCCAGCAGCAGGTGCTAGCAAGTACCGATTTCCCTTTATTTTAAAGGATATATTATTATCTGCTGCTGCTTTCAAGCAGTTATCAGCAAAGTAAGATGGAATACTCAGCACTATAAATAATATGGAGAAGAAAACTGTACCCACACAGGTTTTATTAATTTGTTCTGAAGACAGGATTACTTGAGATAGTTTACCATCGCATTTGCACGGGATAGCCTTTCGTAGAACTCACTAGATTGTTATCCAGGTAATTAATGGAAGAAATTGCATTTGCTTTTATAACTGAGATCAAGGTTTAGTGTTTTTCTTTAGTTGGAAGAATTCAGGGATTTTGCTTTTCCATTGTTTTTTAATGTATAGACTCGGGTTGTTAAAGTTATATTTTGCCACTGCCCTTTTATATCTATTTGATTTAAATGAGATTTACCTTAAAAATTCAAAATAGTTTTATCACCTATTTACATCAGTACTTTTGAGAATTAAAATACAGTTTCTATATTAGTTAATCTGAATTCAATATTAAATCCAGAAAGTATTATATCTACCAGATGTAAACTAAATGATAAACTAATTATGTGATTAAGAAAAAACCATCATTAGTTTTCTGTAAGAACATATCAGATGGTAAATAAATGTTTTGAAAGGATTAATGAGCCATTCTAATGAAATAAAGATCAGTATTAAGCTTTAAAAAAGGCCATGAAAATTAGTGATAATCCAACAAGAAATTCCATTCACCAATTTAGAAAAATAAAAAGGTAACAAGAAAAACAATAATTAAAGCAATTATTGAGAAAAATCAAACTAAATACCTAAAAATTGTGGACTCAGTTATTATATATTTAAACAAATAATTTAAACCTTAGTTATTTGTATATTAGAAAGAACATCCTGTTAACCTAAATTTACTAACCCCTTTTCCATTTAAAAATGTTTGTGATTTACTTTTGCAATATTTCTTGTTTTACCAATGACTGCCGTGTACATGAAGGACTAGTCCTGTTGTCTCTAGGAAATGTCCATTATCCAATAAAAGCTGAACTATGTTAAAATAGTAACTTAATTATTTGGCTCAGGAAATGCATCTGTCATATTTTCCACAGTATGAAATTTTTAAAGGTATCCCCATGAATTATAATTTCTTATCCTTTGCTGGGGATAAATGTCCATAACAATCTGGATAAAAATAATACTCCCTGTCTTATTTTGTGGACAGTTCCTATGGGGAATCTCAGCTAAGTCTTTAAGCCGAAACTCAAATTTGACCCTGAGGACTTCACATACAGCTATCTTTCCAGGGTTCCCTAACGCCTTCGTGCTTCTATTTTCTTTGCTTTTTGTTTTTTGTTTTCTCCAGAAAGACCCCATGAACTCTCTAGAAAATTTAGAGGAAAAAAAGTTTCCTGGAGAGGCCTCCTTGCCAAGCCCTAAGCCCAAGCTTCACACGAGAGACCTCAAAAAAGAGCTAATCACGTAAGTGACCCAAAACGGCATATTCGGTGAGACTCTGGAAATAAGAAACTCAAGGTCATAATTTTGAGTAATATATAGTTGGCTTATATAGTTGACTTTACGGGTGTTTTAGGGCAATTTCAACTATTCATTAGTTAGATGTTCTATATGTACCTAAACTGTGCCCAGAACTAAGAGGATTGGGGGGTGGGGAGTTTACATGACATGATCTTGTGCTGAGAGAATTAAAAGTCTAACTGTTTAAAAAAGCAAGTAGAAATGTTTATGTTTTGATCAGAAATTCTTACTCTGAGATCCATTGTCTCCAGAAGACCCAAACCAGGGCTTCGGGCGTCTACAAACCTTTTCAAACTGAATGCACATTGCTCTTTATCTGGGTAAAGTAGTTCATGGTTTTCAGCACATTCTCGAGGGTCCTGGGACCCAGAAGAGTTTCAAGACCAGGGCACCCGACAGCAACAAGTACTGGTTAAAGCTGCCCCAGAGCTCTGGCCGGGGTGGCTCGGTTGACTGGGCGCTGTCCTGTGCACCGGAAAGTCCTGGGTTCGATTTCCATCAGGGCCCACACCAGTGCGGAGCCTGAGGGACCCAGCTGATGGTTGTTTCTCTGCGCCATCAATTTCTCTCTATTTATCTCTCTCTCCCCCTCCCTTCCACTCTAAAAACTCAATGGAAAAAATGTCCTCAGGTGAAGATTAACAAAACAAAATAAATAAAATAAAAAATAAAATAATAAAATAAAATAAAATGCACTTGACTCTAATTATGTATTTTGGTTGACCCAGCTGTCCGACGCCAGGATGTGATGGAAGTGGCCACGTCACGGGAAACTACGCGTCCCACCGCAGGTAGCCAGCAGCCTGGTGTGCAGTCGGGGTTTCATCGCCCGGTTCTAATTTAAATACGAATTCCCGCCCATTCTAGACAGATCTCTGGGGCAGGAATTGGAGAGTAACTTAGTTGGGCTTTTCTGTATGCACGTGGGTTTTCTGTGGGGTTTTTTAGTTTTTCGGAAATGAAGCTAAGGTAAATCCTTGGTCTTCTCACGTCCGGCGTGTAGAAATCATGATTTTGGTTCACAGCGGTTTTCGGATCCCTTGGCCCAGGTTGCAGAGTTAGAGGTCACGTCGGGGCTCTGGTTGTGTGGAGCTTCAGTGCCCAAGGGAAACAGAGGTTAGCAGGAGCGACGGGGGCTGAGGCCCGCCCTGCGCCCGAGTCCCAGCCCTGGGCCTGCAGCAAGATGAGGTGCCAAAGAGCTTAAAAGGGGCCAGAGGCTGCGTTTCCCTTCCCCTTCCCCCGTCACTGGCGTGACCTGCTTTCCCTCTGGGCACTGACGTAAACCTCTGGGACACCGCCCTTTGGTGAAGTGACCGGACGGGGCCCCTCGTCAGCAGCACTTCTACCCCTGAATTCGAGAGTTGGGGAGTCCCGCTGGGTCAAAGCCCCCATTTGACACAGAGCAAACCCAGGTCTGTTAGAAGCAACCGAGGAGGCCCTGGGCCCAGACCGGCTGGAGAAACAAAGTCCGAGGCCAGCCGGCTATTCTTCCCCAGCCACCAGTGCATTTAACAGACACTGACCCACGCGGGATGGCCTTTCAGTCGGCTCCTATACGTCAGCGTTCTCTGTTTTTGTTTTTTTTCACCCCTCTTTAGTGTTTCCGGATGTCCCTTAGCAGATAAGACTCTGAAGTCCCTCATGGCTGCTAACTCTCAGGAGCTCAAGTAAGTCTGGGAAGCGCGACCCCCTTGCCCTCTGTCCGCTGTGTTGGGTGGGACGCTCCCCACTCAGGACCAGTGTGGTCACCAGCAAGCAGTAAACTGTGCCTCAGTAACTTATAACCAACACACCCTTAAAAAAAATCCAATGACTAAAACCAAATCACTGTGAATTAATTCGCTTGCTTGGGGAGTTTGGGGTTTTACAATAATTTTTAAAGCCATTGCTTATGATGTAATAGTTTTTAAAAACCCCTTTTTTCTCTGTTAACTTCAGGATTTGTATAATAAATCGCCCCTGAGGAGGTGTGGCACACTGTTCTCACCACCCAGTTTTAAGAAAGCTGTGTGATGTTTCCCTCGATGGGCATTTTGAATCATATGACTGCCTTTCGCTTTTGGGTGCTGGACACATCTGGCTCACTGTTCCCTAGTCTACAGAATCTCAGAGCCACGTGTATATTAACTTCTACTTATTGATTTTATTTTTCTCAGTCTTTTTTTATTTTTTATTGATTTAAGAGAGAGGGAGAGAGAGAGAAACATCACTGATGAGAGTCACTGATGGGCTGCCTCCCGCACGCCCCCTGCTGGGGATCGAGGAGCCTGCAGCCCAGGCCTGTGCCCTGACCGCGAATCGAACCCCGATCTCCTGGATCCTAGGCCGATGCTCAACTGCTGAGCCGCACAGGCCGGGCAGGAGTTACACAGCTTCACAAGTTTTTTAAATGGATTCTTAGCCAAGAACTAATTCTATTTAAGCAACACAGGCCCCACCCGAAGCAAGTCGTTCTGTTTAGTTCTGTTTGTGCCATGACCCCCTCCCTCCACCACAGCCATGTGCCCGGTGCTCTGTCCCTGTGTTCTCCAGGTGTCCAACCCCAGGTTGTGATGGTTCAGGGCACGTGACCGGAAACTATGCCTCCCACAGAAGGTAGGAGTGGTCCCGTCTCTGAGAAATGAAACCAGAGTCAGCGGCAGTGGCCACGGAGATGACATGGTTTGGTTTTGTTCTCTGTTGGGTACACGCTGTAGTTTGTCCGGCTGCCCTCGTGCTAGGAAAGGTGGTGTCAAAATGACCACGACGAAGGAAGAAAAGGAAGACCCCGAGCTCAAGTAAGTGCACGGTGGAGGCGGCCGCGGCAGGGCCCCGAGTGGCTCCTTGGTCGCGTGGACCGGCCGCGGTTGTGGCGCTCGGAGCGCGGAGTGCGTTTCGGGTCCGGAGGCCGGGAAGCACTGGCCGGTGTTCGGGCGGCTGAGAGAGTTTTCCCTTTCGTGGCTGTTCCCCCAGATCGTTGATCACGTAAAATTGGGAGGAGGGAGACCGTGCTTTCCCCGACTGTTTTAGAGCAGAGTAGAACAGGCCGGCAGCATTTTCCCCCTGAAACTTTAATTCTGCTCCAGGTGAAATTTTACCTAAATTAAATTCCCTCCCCCTAAGACGTACGCCACCAAGATTAGGATGACAGATGAAAATCTAAATTGCTTGCTCGATAAGCCTCACTTCCCCACCTGTAAAATGGGAGAGCAACACCCTTTGCGCAACAGATTTGCCGCGAAGGTCGCAGGAGGTAACGCGTGAAAATCGCTTAACCCGGAGCCCGTGGGCCGTGGCTTCTGCTGGCCCATCGCTGTTTGGCCGGTCGCCGTGGCCTCTTCTAAAACTCAACAGCGTCCCCCGTTTGCCTTCCGGAGAGCGTGGAACCGCCCCTCCCTTCTTTCTTGCTGGGTTACCGCATGTCCCGTGAGGTCTCCCTTCTCCCCCAGCTGGTGACATCTCCGCTGTGTCTCTCTAGATGTCCTGTGATAGGGTGTGACGGCCAAGGTCACATATCAGGTAAATACACGTCCCATCGCACAGCTTCCGGCTGTCCCCTGGCTGCCAAGAGACAGAAGGAGAATCCTCTCCACGGGGGCCCCCTCTCCTGGAAACTGAACAAACAAGAGCTGCCACACTGCCCGCTGCCCGGCTGCAATGGGCTGGGCCACGTCAATAACGTTTTTGTCACCCACAGAAGGTAACCTCTGTTCTCTCTCTGTGGGTGTTGTTGCGATGATTTGTCACCTGGGTTGTCTTGTGGGCGGGGAGAGCCCTCCTCGGGGTCGTAAATTATAGCATTTAGGTGGGATGGCAGTGAGTCTTGCCCGGGGGGGTAGCTGACTCGTTCGAAGAATAAAACACATTTTCTCTATTTCTGAAAATTTACGACACAATTTGCAAGTGTTCTAGAAACGGGGCATTTGTCTCTTGTATTCTAAACTATTGCGTATGCGGTTACTTTTCAGTGGCTGTCTTTTAATGGTTCGCGTTCGTTCCAAGTGGTCACATCTACGCTATTGTGCTCTGTAGCTGTGAACTTTCGCTTGACGTGTTTACGCCGTTCCCTTCCTCTCCTGAGCTGGCTCAATTTCAGGCCAAATTGTAGTCGTTTTTCTGCTGGGAAGATGTGACTCATCCCCAGCAGCCAGAAAGAAAATAACATGTAGGACACGTTGCAACTTTGCTTCAGAAATATTTTTTTTTTCCCCACTTGGCCAAGTGTCCTAATCCTTGGATTGAAAATAATAGTTTTTACGTGAATTAGAATCACATTTCTGTGGGAAAGTATTTTAAATGACTGACTGTGCTCATTTTAAATTTTATGTAAAAATCACATCTCCAAAAATGCAACAGAATTACAAAAGAATTAATAGGTGCTTAATGGAACAAAACCATCTGAATCTGTACCAGGGAAAACAAGCTTTGTTCAATGTTACTGTTACAGTCTTGGTGCAACTTAAATACAACAGATACAGTAGCAAGAGCACAGCTGAGGAGTGAAACGTGTAAGGGGGTGTAAACCCGACTCGCTGCATCGCCCGGGCAGCGATTCTCTCGCAACACACTTACAGTGGTTCTTTTATTTTCCTTTCAACGTAGAGCTTTTTTTAAAATGACAAATAATGTTTTAAAAGTTAAAGAATAAATTAGAAACTTTCCCATTCCCAAACTGCACGGGGAAGGAGGGTTATTATTTGGGGTTTGTGATCGTTTGAATCGCGCTGTGTAGATCAGACTATAGTGTGTACAAAGAAAGAACTAGATTCCGCTTTATTACTCATGGAATTTTGACTAATTTGGAACAATTCTGGTTAATAATATATATGCAATTTCATGTTTGCAGAAAATAAAGTAACCACTGCTAAAGAAAGGCACTCATATGAATGCAGAATAGAAATAATTTAATAAAATTAAGTGCCATCAGCAGTAGCTATTTGTATTTTGATTTAAAAAAACACACAAAACAACCAACCACAAAACATTTTACATTATTTCAGGGCGTTTTGCTTTTGTTTTAATAGATATTGTTACTTTCTACAAAGGGACTGCGTGTTATAATGTAATTAGCAAGCAAGCAAACACTTAAATAGTAAGTAGTGAATAAAACAATGGAAATTTTTATATGAAAGAATGCTTGTTTCACACATCAGTCTGATTCCTGTTTTTGCAGCTTATCGGGGTGCCCTTTAAACGCACAAGCTATCAAGAAGGGCAAGGTCTCGGAAGAACTGATGACCATCAAGCTCAAGGCCACTGGAGGTAGGAGCTCTGGGCCGGGGCCACCGTCTCCGCAGGGGTCCCGGGGGCAGTTCCTCGCGGGCTCGACACCAGATGACACTCGGCTTGTGAACTGTAATTTTAGCGTGCCACGAGGAAGATTTTCTCACGTTTGAACAAAAGCTATAATTTTTATCTCAAAACGATAGCTTGGTTTCCCCCCCTTGCTTTTTAACAGGAATGTCCATCAGGGGACATGACACTGAGCTTCCCGTGGGCTCCCAGGTGGGAGGGCCGGGGCGGAAAGGTGAAGGGACTGCGAAGCGCAGGTCGGCGGTGACAGCACCGTCCCGGGCGTGTTGCCTTGAATGTAGATTTGGGTAAAAATCCAGCGTTTCCAACTCAAGTCTAATTTCCACTTCACGAGCCACAGACGGAAAGTAAAGCGATTGAGACCTGTGACAGTCTCGCGATTCGGTTTGAACCCGGGGCGCCTGGTCCTTTGCAGGTATAGAAAGTGACGACGAAATCAGGCATTTGGATGAAGAGATAAAGGAGCTGAACGAATCCAACCTTAAGATCGAAGCGGATATGATGAAGCTTCAGACGCAGGTAAAAACCACAAGGAAACGACGGGCAGGTGTCTTCGTGCGAATCGCAGCCTTTCGTGGAGGCAAAGCATTGAACTGTCCCACCTGAGATAACAAAACACCCTGAGCCCGGCCGGTTTGGCTCAGGGGTTAGAGCGTCAGCCCCCAGACTGAAGGGTCCCGGGTTCGATTCCGGCCCAGGGCACGTTCCTCGGTTGTGGGCTGGATCCCCGGCCCTGGTCGGGACACGTGCGGGAGGCGGCCCATCGAGGCTTCTCTCTCTATCTGTCTCCTTTCCACTCTCTCTGAAAAAAACATCCTCANCTGAAGGGTCCCGGGTTCGATTCCGGCCCAGGGCACGTTCCTCGGTTGTGGGCTGGATCCCCGGCCCTGGTCGGGACACGTGCGGGAGGCGGCCCATCGAGGCTTCTCTCTCTATCTGTCTCCTTTCCACTCTCTCTGAAAAACACCGAAAAAAACATCCTCAGGTAAGGATCCAAAAAATACAATTTATTTATTCTTTTAAAAAGAGAAACTTGTGTTGGTAGCTGTGTTGAAAATGGACCAAAAGAATAGCCTGTGGGGGGCAAAGCCGCCCTCGGGGCCACGCATGGGAAGGCGGGCAGTCACCCCGGCAGCTGGGCCCGGGGCAGCGGTGAAGGTGGGGCCCTCATCCCGTCCCGGGTATTTCGAGGAGACGCCCGGTGGATCTGAAGTGAGAGAGGGGAAGCCGTCGGGGACGCCCGGGAGGCCTGAGCAGTGACCCAGCTGCCACCGCCTGGGAAGGGAAGGGCTCTAGTGTGCGCAGCGGGTTTGGGGAAAACACCGAGCCTGAGACGCCATCGCAGAGCCGCCTGGCGACGCCGTGGAACCTGCCGTTAGGGGGAAAGTCGGGGCTGAGGTTATCAGTTCGGGAGTGTGGCTTCTAACGCTAGAGCCCGAGGACGGGTTCCTGTTTTGCAAAGAGAAGCCACAGGGAAGGCGTTCCTCGGCGTTCGGGATCCGCTGTTGCACCCCCCTCAAAGGGAAACACTCCTGCACGCCTTTCAAACCCTGCTTCTTGCATTTCCATGTCAGATCACGTCTATGGAGAGCAACCTGAAGACGATAGAGGCGGAAAACAAACTCATAGAGCAGAACAATGAGAGCCTGCTGAAGGAGCTGGCGGGCCTCAGCCAAGCCCTCATCTCGAGCCTCGCCGACATCCAGCTCCCACAGATGGTAAGTCCAGGCCGAGGCCGGGCCGTGGCCGCGCATCCGGCGTGTCTGCAGTCTGTCGGTCACCAGCTGGGCTGCCAGACAGAAGTGCAAGCGTTTTTATTTTTATTTATTTTTATTTTATTTTTTATTTCATAGAGAGGAAGTGGGGGAGAGAGAGAGAAACATCGATGAGAAAGTCCTTGATCGGCTGCCTCCGGCACACCCCCCACTGGGGATGGAGCCCGCATCCCGGGCCTGAGCCCTGGTGGGTGACTGAACCGTGACCTGGTTCAGGGGCCGATGCTCGGCGGCTGAGCCACGCAGGCTGGGCCGGACCTTTGAGGAGGCCCGCCAGCGGTCACGGAGGCATCGTGCCCCCTCGTGTCTGACTTGCAATAACCTCCCTCGCTGGGAGATACGTACACTTTAATTACATTAAGCCACGGGTTTTTGATACCAGAGGAGTCACTTAAAGAGGAAGGTTTGTTTGAAACTGTTTGATAATGTAATATGAAGGCCGGAGGCCAAAACTCCCCGGCTAAAATTTTTTTTCCAAATAGAAAGCTTACGTGGCTTACGGCCCCTGAGGCCCAGCCGCCTGCGTCACGCAGCCGGTTAAGGGTCGCCGAAAGGGTTTAGCCGGATGCTTTCTTCGTGCTGGGTGCGAAGGGGTACTTAGGTTCTCTTCGTACAGAATAAACAGCCCGGACGCGGGCGAGGCATTCTCATTTCCAAAATCTAAACATGTAGTTGAAGTGTGGCAGCTACTTAAAATGTATAGAGAATTCGTTTCCTTTACATTTTCATAAGTATAATAAACATTTAAAAGAGGGGCTGCATCATCGAATGCTTTTAATTTCCTCGCTGTGTACATTTTCAGACCAAGTTTTCTAAAGCTGCAGATTTTATAGAGAGAATGTTTTAAAGAAGCAGCAATTTAATAAAGAAATAGGATTGGTTTTCTGAAAACAGCAAGTCCCTCAATTTCCCCAGCTTCCCAGCATGGAGCTCTGGTCTTCACCAATTCCAGATCTATCTCTTGCAATAAAAAAAAGTCGATAATGTAACACTACAAAACACAAAGAAAAATAAATGTTACTTCGTGGCCAGTATTGAGGTAATTACTGAACATTATGTAATATTATTTGTTCATGTTTGTCTAAGTCAAGCTTTAAATTTATATTCCTTAACGTTTTTTCCTTACCAGGGCCCCTAAAGTAATCATTGCCACACGAGATAACTTGTCCTTAGTGTAGTTACCGTATAAGCTACACTAGTGGTGACTTTTAGGGCTGATCACCCTAAACTTTCACAAAAGCACCGAGGACATTCCTGTTCTATAGTTGAACAAGTTCCACCAGGCAGCGGGTGGTGAGCGGCCTGCTCGGGCCTCGGGTTCCCTGACCCAGCCCAGCGCCGGCCCAGGAAGCCTCTGGGTCACACCGGCCTCTCCCCAGCCTCGCGGGCTCGCCCTCCCGCGGACGGCGGGCCTGTTCCACGCTGAGCACACGCAGCTGAAGCTGAGACCGCATCTCAGGCGTAGTAGGGCAGCTTTGAAGGGTCCATCTCAGCAGCCAGGCAGCTACCTCACGTGGCTCCACACTGGCCACGAAACACTGTACAATCCCATCAGTCCCAGACATCGAGTAAAGCTCGAGCAGACGGGTCCCAGTGCACTGAGTCTCTCTCCACCTCCCCAGACTCCAGCAGCCACACGCCCCCTCACCTCCCTTCCCAGACTCCGGGGTCCCTGAGATGCTTGGGGGTCCCTGGGGCCTCTCTTTGCCTCAGCCTGAATCCCTGCGATTGCTCCATGTGTTTTGTCTTCACTCAGGGGCCCATCAGTGAGCAGAACTTTGAAGCCTATGTAAATACACTCACAGACATGTACAGCAACCTGGAGCGGGACTATTCCCCGGAATGCAAAGCTCTGCTGGAAAGTATCAAACAGGCGGTGAAGGGCATCCACGTGTAGGACCAACGCGTTGCCGGGCGACAGAATCACCACCAGCAGCAGGACCAGCGCATCTGCTCGGGGCTCCTGTCCTGCCGAGGCACAGAGGTGGCCATATTTACAATTGCAACATTGCACTAATTTTCCCCGCAGCCGACATAAAAAGGAAAGGAAAAACTATAATAGACTCTTTGGATTAAAAGCAATGCTGTCAAATATTAGATTTTATTTATTTTCATATGTTTTCCTTTTATTTCTTCATTGCACTCTTTTGAATTTTTTTCTTTGTAAAGTATATGTAAATTAATGTGACATTTTAATATTTTATTCATTTCTAATCAAAGAGTTTTTTATCTTTTAACTGCATTTTGAAGTCTGCCATATTTTTACAAGCGTGTTTATTTTCCAATAGAATTTAAATAGAAATGCTATTCTCAAATCACATATCTTGCTGGGTTTCAATGAGAAAACAACAAAAAAGGAAAAAGTAGGAAGGAAATCTTTGTCTAAGGACTGCACTATGCTCCAGTTTGATTTTGATTGCACACTTTCCCCCTTTCACTAGCTTTTGTATTTATAAGTATTTATAAGGTGAGACGCGTGGAGGGAAGAAGATAAATGGCGCCCACTAGTGGGCAGTGCGCTCACGGACGCACAGGTGCGGAAAGAGCCTGCTCAGAATTTGTTAGCAATAATTTAAATATAGAAATCAGCAAAGTACTCGACTTGGCTGTATGGTTTTGGTAAACATGAATTATTTATTCAAAACGTTTTAAAGAAACCTACGCTTTTTTTAGTGGTGCAGATTTGTCTGTTTGTTTTTCAAGTCATATCAGATAGTTGGCAACTCTTAGAGATCCTGAGACGAGAAATGAGACTCGATGTGACCAGCCAGGCTTTCCTGCCATATGTTGGTACAATATACAAGTGACAATATTGATGTAGATTTGTACTTAGCAAATACAAACACATCCAAATGGAAAATTTTGTAGATACCATATCCCCTGAAATAGCATTTATCTTACTTGGTTGACTGGAAAGGAATGGGAAATACAGGAACACATACGGAAAAACGTTACTCGATCTGAGTCATTACCCTGAACACAGGTGACATCCTCTCACCATCTTTAGGCAACAGTAACACTTTCAATTTGATCAGTATCTTTCTGTAGAACTACAAGTGCTACAAAGTATACACACTCAGCACACAGGCCCACACCCACGTTCTACCCACTCACGTCCACTCAGACACGCCTAAAATTGAGCCCGAAAACCTTGAATTTCTGGATGGATCAGAGCTTAGTAGTTGCTATAGTAAAGGCAATGTCTATTTCAGGGATTGTAAAGTAGTTAAGCATTGTTTCAAAAGTTTTTTTATATTTATTTTTTTTAAGAAAAGGTATAGACAACCAGCTAAACTGCCTTTTTGGTGTGCACACACGACCGCGTGTGCAGTGTGCCTCCCTGTAAATGGACACTTGAACTTCGCGTGGGCTTGATTTCCTGTTCTGTAACAGAAGTGTTTATTTTCTATTAGCCTCATGGGTATGTAGATCGGATGTGATGGCACTCACAGGCTTGACGTAGTCCACTGTTATTACTGTTACCTGCACAAATTAAGAGTGATATCAACAGTAATTCCACTTCCATGCCACTGTGGTCCTTGTTATGTATTAAGTGGGGCTTATCTTTGGTTTGGGGTTCATTTGAACCCTTGAATTTAGTTTAGTGAAAATGAGATGTATGTTCTTAGGTAGAAATGGTGTTTATTTAAAAATCAATTTATAAAGAAGAGCTACCATATGTGCTGTCTATTATAAATGGGACACCAAACAAAATTTTCTATTAAAGTTATGTACTTGCCAACAGTTTGCTATAGAGTACTTGATAGATGCGTACAAATGGGTTCACTTATTACAAAGACAAGATTTTAATTTGCTAAATATTTTAACAACTTTGTTATATATTTTATTTAATTTAAGAGAAATTTCTTACCAACCTATGTATTTATTGCTATAATTTACTGTGACTTTGGGTTAATTTATTTGTGTTTGCATAGTTTGAGCGTATGTTTTATGAAGCATATTTGTATTTATTTGCCTCCTTTGTACTTGATGTGTTTTGTAACGTGCACTGAATTTGTTTCCTTTCAACTATGTTGATCGATACTGTAAATTGGGTCTTTTATAAACAACAAAGGAACAATGATGTATGCTTTTTTTTTAATTTCAAGTAGTTCATTTGTATACTGTTTCTTCAAACAATTAATATTTCTTACATCAAAGCAACAAAATTGTGTCCAGTGCTGTACCTTTGCTGTATGGTAGGAAATAAAAATTGATAATGAGTTTTGCTGTGATTGTTTTCAGGCTACGATAAAGAAACTATTTTCACTAACCCATGAAAAGTGTTGGGGCCTTTAGACACAAAACTAAAATACTTCTGTGATATGCAGTTAGACAGACAGGAGCAGAGCAAGGCCGGTGGGCCAGGTACAGAAGGTCACCAGGGCAGAAAGCACCAGGTGCCTAACAAAGCTGTAGGGTGGGATGCCCGCCCCCCTCCCGTGGCCTTTCTTCCCCTAGCAGACCACTGGTCATGAGGCTTGGACCCTCCCCTGACCTTTCCTCCCTGCAGAGAACATCGAGGCCTCAATTGTATCTCAGCTCCAGGCCCAGAAAACATCAAAACCAGCCACAGCTGCCCTCGGGACCAGCTGCACTGGATAATGCCCCCTGCCCTGGTGCTGACCCATCAATCAGTGGAGACCAGGGCCCTGAAAGGACACACCTGGAAAGCTGCTGGATATTATAATGAGACCTTTCCCTGGGGCCTCCCCTAAGATCTCCTCCCTTAAAACCATTAGGACGGGACCCAGAGCTCTCCCTCCTGGGAGCTCGCCCAGGACCTTTCCCTCCCCTCCCCCAGGCAGGTCACCTTGACCTTCCTCACCCCCAAGCTCCAAGGGCCCTTCCTTTGCCTCTGTAACTTGTTCCTAAGCCCGTATCTTCTAGGAATCACTTCTTCCACCCCTGTGGTTTTATAAATAAATGTTCTCTTATAGCTGGAGTCTTGGCTCTGGATTCTTTCCCAGCCAGAACCCAAGTACAGAGGCTGCTGAACCCAGGTCCGGTCCGACCCCACGGGTCTAACACCCGGTGCCGATCCCGCCGCCCACAACATAATGGTGCCTCAACTCGGATTGTGACTCCGATCATTTCATCACCGGTAAGCGGCCGTCCTCGCCACCTTGGCTTGCAGGACCTGACTGACTGCCCTTTCCTCCCTGCCCCTGTTCCTTCTGCCCTGGGGCTCTCTCTCCCTCTCTCCCCCCCAGTGGATTGCTGCACTGCGTGGGCGCCGGTCGAGCATTTAAAAACGGTTAGGGTGCCTGCTGCTAGACTTTTCCACTTAAATGTGTATTATCGCCTATAAACGTAGTCAGTCACTTTCCTTCTGGGTGGTTCCCTGCTGCCGTCTGAAATGAAGTGCAGATTAGACGGGTGGGCTAGATGTTTGGAACTCACAATGGCTCTTCCGGGGTCGGATGCCCTAATAATGTTTTCAAGAATCAAACTTTTAACCACTGGAAATGGTTGTAAATATTTATCCCCATAGTTACTTGAGATAATTTGCAAGTATTGTGCCTCAGCAAAACCCTGAGGACCACCCAGCTGGTGTGGCTCAGTGGTTGAGCATCAACTCATAAACCACAAGGTCGGGGTTCGATTCCCGGTCAGGGCCCATGCCCGGGTTGTGGGCTCGATCCCCAGTCGGGGGCGTGCAGGAGGCAGCCGATCAATGCCTGTCTCTCATCGCTGATGTTTCTCTCTCTCTCTCCCTCTCCCCTCCTCTCTCTGAAATCAATAAAGACATATTTTGAAAAACAAACAAACCCACGAAACCCTGAGGACCGAAAGCCCCCATAGCCACCCCGCTGGCGGTGCCCAGGCCACAGTGTGCCGTCTCCTCTGACTGCCCTGACTCTCGGATGATTCCCATTAACATGAGTTTACTATTCCAGGAAATTCTTGCCCAGGAAGCAAAACTGAACCTACCTTCATCATTGGTTCCAGGAACTTTCTAATAGTACATTGATCTGAACTCCCAGGAATGACTCAATGTACTCTCGGAGCAAATGTCCCTCCTCGGGACCACGTGCTCTCAAACGATTGTTTTCTCTTAGAGACTCACTTTGAACCCCAAGCTGTGCTGTGTGCATCTCTTCTAAACTGTTATGTGGCGAACTTGCCTAATTCTAATCACATTCGAAGGCCTCCTCAGGGCGGACCTCCCAGACCACAGGGGTGTCCCACCTTCGCCTGCCTCTCGCCCCAGACGTGGAGACCCTCTCAGGGTGAACTTAGTTCCCTGTATCAGCAAATTCCTGGGGCCGTGTTCTGTGGGGGCAGCAGCCGGCAGACCCGGGTAATTCCTGCACGCAGCTGTGAATATGTATCTGTATCCTCGGTTTTCAGTAAGCAGAAAGGCCTACTTCTGAATCATCGAAAGCCCAGTAGCTTAACTCTGAATATTTCCAACAACCGTCTTGGATGCTTCTGTGAACATACAGCTCAGGAACCACAGTGCTTTTCTCCTCCTTGCTTTTTGAGGGAGAAATCCTCAAAATACGAGAACATCTGAGAACCACGTTTATGTTTATATGTTCAGATAAGGAAACAAAGCGGCTAATGACACGACAAGACCCATGAACATAGCAAAAATGCTGGCACAACCCTAAAATCTTCTCATTTTAGGGTTTTTTTTGGTCTTTTCTTTTTATAATTACCAACCTACAGAAACAAATTCTGTTTTAAAAGATTATTGTCATAGTTAGAATAATNTGAACATAGCAAAAATGCTGGCACAACCCTAAAATCTTCTCATTTTAGGGTTTTTTGGTCTTTTCTTTTTATAATTACCAACCTACAGAAACAAATTCTGTTTTAAAAGATTATTGTCATAGAATAANCTGTTTTAAAAGATTATTGTCATAGTTAGAATAATTTTTTTTAGTACAT